TATGTTCTATGTGCTATAACTGCAAACTAATGTAGATAAAAGCCAAGTTAACAGATGTGAACAATAGTTTTTCTACCACAAAGTCTGTATCATTTTTCTCAGTCATAAACTGCCACCAAATCTATTCAGGCATTCTTCTTCAAATGTCTCAGACTTTCTTACAATACCTTTTCTATTCACAATTACTTACAAAGGGACTGGCTCAGGTGTTGAATCTTAATGGCTCAGATAATAAAGAACTGCAACATCAGCTTAATCTTATTTATACTCACATAACAATTTTTCAAAGTCTGGAGAAAAATCTGATTTAAATGCAAAATGTCAGCCAGCAGTAAAACAATGGATGTTTTACTGTTTGGAGAGATAAAGGAGTTCAATCTACTAATACTAATCCTATTATCACAGGACACTTGTCTTCTGACTTGTTCACACATTCACAACTGCCATTGTAATCCAACGCCCTTGGTGCTGAGGCTCCAAAGTGCAGGTGTATATGCTGTTATGCTCAATCTAAACACAGTAAAATCTCAATCTACCAGCAGGAGTACAGAGACTGGAAGTATAGGTTAAAAAAAAAAAAAAAAGGCTCTGGCTTTACGCAACATCAAAGTTTCGCGGAACTCAGTACCTGAACTGAACCTAGCTTGCTTAAACTGTGGGAAATACGGAGAAATAAATTTGATTTAAACCTGAATAATGGTCACTTAGATTAATTCACTTATGAATTGGTTTAAACTTCATTTAATAGAAGTCATTTGAAGCGGATTAAAATATCCGCACCTGTTTGTACAAGTCTAAACAAACATATTTGAAACACGCTAAAACTTTAAATTGGCCAGTACCTTTATTACAGGTGGGTCCTTTATTCTCTCTGCTTTTCAGCTTCTTCTTCCAAAATGCCTTTCTTTTAATGTATGCAATATGTGATTTTCTTTGAAAAAAAACATAATTGTATTAAAAAGAGGTATGTTATGAAGTCATGGAAGGGGAAAAGTATACTGTCCTGAATTGCACTGGCACATCTGAAGCGTGTTATTTCATCAGCAAACTGCAAGGCATGTTTATACGTTATTACTCACTAACTATATATATATATATATTTTAAAGAAGACTTTGTTCTCAGAACCTTTTGTTCGTAGGACACCAGATTTAAACTAGTAACATGACTGAGTGCACAAAGTACAACAAACTTTATGACAGCGTTCCTTGTGTCTGCATTTTAGCGCACCTGGTGCTTGTTTACAACGGAAAGGTAAGATTAATCATTTGAAGGTGTTATATTAACAAACCTACGTGCACACAGCCGAAAGCTGTGAATGGCCTTGTTCAAAAATGAAGAAATTTGCAGTTTATTCTGTAGATAGGACCTCCCGTAATCCTAACTACTGCTCTGCCCATGCCCAGATAAATGATGAGTGCTTCGACTGAAGTCAAAGTGATGTTCAACCTTAGCTACCTTAGAGCTAGGACTTTCTTACATTATAATTTTTATCTGTGGTGTTGAAATATTTTACAATGAAGATCCGATGATTAAATCCCTGGTAGCTACTAAGAAGCATATTGATCACTCAGTGGAAATGCTGCAGCAAAATGATGCAGCTCGTGGTTGCTATTGAGAGGCTGGACACATCTG